CGGAAGCCTCTGCTCAGTGCATAACATATGAAAGCCCACTTGGAGTTTGCAAGAAAGTTTTCTCACACATACACACTCAAAGGAAAAAGGGGAATGCATTGAATGCTATAATTACATGTATTAATGTATGTGATATAGTTAACACATTAAGGTGAAATGATCAAAAAACAAAACTAGAGTAATAGGTTTCTGTTTTTCAGTTTCAAAGCTTAACTGAACAAGCTGAAGACAGAAACAGATTTGATACTTCTGTATGTGCAACTGTTTCAGATTCTGTCTGCTCCAGTTTTGATAAATTCACTTAATTATTTTTGCAGTAGTGTTCCTGTACCTGCTTTAGAATTAGTATAATACCTGAGAACAGCAGCTTTCCATCACATGCTTCAGAGACTGCTACCTGTCTTTGTCACCTGACTCTTACAAAGTTTCATACAATTTCTGGAGACATATTAATAAAATAAAAATACTGACACTCTTTCTGGACACTTGTTGCATTAGGCCACTTGTGTTAAAGTGAAAGCACAACCATTATTTTCTTAATTTTGTTTATAAAGTTCAACTAGCTTGCTGGCAGTAATATTAGACTGTAGCTTCAGTGAAGTTTATTTTTTTTCTACTGGAAAAGTAGAAGATAGGCAGACATTCTAAAAGCCTAATTCATCTTGGGTAGCCAATTCCAATTGCTTTTATCAAAAGCACCACTGCCAATAAATCTTTAGACTGACTAGCCATGCAATGAATTTCAATAAAAATCAAAAGCTTTACTTAATACAGCCAGGCATGACATTCAATATGAGAGCTTACTTTTTACCTGTGTTCCACCAGCTGTGCTAAGCAGCAAAAAAATAATTATCCATATGTACCTCCTGAAAATGTTTTTCCTAAAGAAGACAAAATCAGGTTTTCTCTGTAGATCAGGCTCTCAACTAGGGTTCTTCCAGAGGTTGTTAGGGGCTCCTTGACCATGGGCCAATTAATGCCACTCAAATAAGTTGTCAGTGAAACCAATGATCTTTTAAGCTATGTATAAGAGGGGGATTATTCCCAAGTGTAAGCAACCTTCTCCTTGACCATCACACTAATGTACAGTGAGAAATAGAAGTGTTAATAGTATATTTTTATCAATAAACAAAATTGAAAGTAAATGAACAGAAGATAAATCAATATTTGGTGTGACCACCCTTTGCCTTAAAAACATTATAAATTCTTCTAGGTACACTTGCACACAGTTTTTGAAGGCAGGCTGTTCCAAAAATCTTGGAGCACAAACCACAGACCTTCTGTTGATGTAGGCTGACTCAAATCCTTCTGTCTCTCCATGTAATCCCACTGAGACTCCTTTATGTTAGGATCAGGGCTCTGTGAGAGACAAACCATCACTTCCAGGATTACCTGTTCTTCTTTATACTGAAGATAGTTCTTATTGACATTGTCTGTATATTTGGGGTCATTGTCCTGCTGCAGAATAAATTTGCGGACAAAACACATACCTCCCTGATGGTATTGCATGATGGATAAATATCTGCCTGTATTTCTCAGCATTAAGGACATGACTGATCCTGGCTAAATCTCCAACTCCATGAGTTGCAGAAATGCAGCCACAAATTGCAAGGAATCTTCATCATGCTTCACTGTTGCCTGCAGACACTCAATATTGTACCACTCTCCAGCCCTTTATGAACAAACTGCCTTTTCCTACAGTCAAATATTTAAAATTTTGACTCATCAGCCCAGAACACCTGCCACCATTTTTGTGCAACCCAGTTCTGATGTATTGGCTTTTTGGGCTCAATTCTTCCATGAAGACCACTTCTAGCCAGACTTCTCTGGAGAATAGATGGGTGTACCTGGGTCCCTCTGGTTTACGCAAGTTCTGTGCTGATGGCATTACTGGACATCTTCAATATCTGAAGGGAAATAAACTTTGTGTCTTTCATCTGCTGCATTAAAATATAACTAAAACAATTTTTTTTTAGTTTTTAGATAAGGTAGATTAGAACATCTGTCAGTTTCTTTTGTTGTCTGTGTCCCCGTTAAGAAGATTCACCCTCTCTATTTGTCTTGTTTACCATGATCATTTAAAGTGAAATTAAAGAAAATCTAAAAATTTGGGTTGTCCCCAAAAAAAGTAATGTAAGGGAAATCTTCCAATGGGAACACTAATTGAGGTGACCTGGGAGTCCCCAAGGGATTTCCTTTAATTTGAAGGAATTTCCTCCCATTTCTTGTTTGGCTATGGGACAGGAAGTGAAGGGAAATCTCAAAAATGGGACAAAGATGGTGAAAATATGGATTTTACCCATGGTTATTAAGAATAGCTAGAAACAGCATAGACAGGGTGGTGGTCTGTAATATATATTTTTATATATTTTTTAAGCATAAAAATGGCAAAAGCTAGTGAACTGACAGCATGTTTGTCTTCACCACGAAGCAGTAACTCTCAGGATGAGGCATTGAAAACATAGCCAAATTAAACTAATCCAAATTGTCCATAATGTACCCTAACAGCCTAAAAATTAAACTCCCTGCAAGCACTCTAACTACTAAAATGAAACCTTTGCTCTGAACTTGCACCCTATAACATAAAACATGTCTGTTGTGAAAAAATAAAATCATATATTTATTTCCACACTGAATTTCAATTATTTCTAGACTACTCCTATTACTCTGATTGATCTTGTAGTCTGTAAACTTACTTTGTGATGATCCCCAAACATTTACTTCCTGAAATTCACTCTACTCTGTTGATAGACATGGCTTTGGCAAATAATTCACAGAGCCTGCCTTCTGAACTACAGAGGTGATGAAAGCAGGAGTTTCAGGAGAAGTCAGTACAGGAAATCGCTGCTTAAGCTGGCCATACATGGATAGAACTGGCTAAATTTCTATGTATGGGCAGGTTGATGATACAGAAGTCGATCTACCAATAGATAGCACAGCGGGAGTGGTTCATGCATTAAGAGTGTGGATAGGGGAGTCAGGTCATTTCTTCCATCCAACCTGCTGGTTAAAGGAAAAATTAAAAAAAAAAAGTGTGCGTGTGTGTATATATATATATATATATATATATATATATATATATATATATATACATATATATACATACACACACATACATAAACACACACTTAGCTCAAAAAAATTAATTGAACTCTTTGAAAACATATCAGATCTCAATGGGGAAAAATATCATGCTGGATATTTATACTGATATGGACTGGGTAATGTGTTAGGAACGTAAGGATACCACATCGTTTGATGGAAATGAAAAATGATCAACCTACAGAGGACTGAATTTAAAGTGGAAAAAATGACGCAGGCAAGTCCATTTTGCTGAAATTTCGTTGCAGCAACTCAAAATGGTACTCAGCAGTTTGCATGGCCCCCACGTGCTTATATGCATGCCTGACAACATCAGGGCATGCTCATAATGAGACGACATATGGTGTCCTGGGTTAATTCCCCCCAGATCTGGACCAGGGCATCACTGAGCTTCTGGACAGTCCGAGGTGCAAGCTGGCATCGTCGGATGGACTGAAACATGATTTCCCAGAGGTGTTCTATTGGATTTAGGTCAGGTGAGCATGGGGGTCATTCAATGGTATCAATTCCTTCATCCTCCAGGAACTACTTGCATACTCTTGCCACATGAGGCTGGGCATTGTCGTGCACCAGGAGGAACCCAGGACCTACTGCATTAGCATAGGGTCTGACAATGGGTCCAAAGATTTCATCCCGATACCTAATGGCAGTCAGGGTGCCATTGTCTAGCCTGTAGAGGTCTGTGCATCCCTCCATGGATATGACTCCCCAAACCATCATTGACCCACCACCAAAACAGTCATGCTCAACAATGTTACAGGCAGCATAACGTTCTCCACGACTTCTCCAGACCCTCAAGTCTGTCACATGTGCTCAGGGTGAACCTGCTCTTATCTGTGAAAAGCACAGGGCGCCAAAACAGGGCGCCAGTGATGGACCTGCCAATTCTGGTGTTCAATGGCAAATGCCAATCGAGCTCTATGGTGCCGTGCAGTGAGCACAGGGCCCAACAGAGGACATCGAGTCCTCAGGCCACCCTCACGAAGTCTGTTTCTGATTGTTTGGTCAAAGACATTCACACCAGTGGCCTACTGGAAGTCATTTTGTAGGGCTCTGGCAGTGCTCATCCTGTTCCTCCTTGCACAGGATGAAAGCAGGAGCAGATACTAGTCCTGCTGATGGGTTAAGGACCTTCTATGGCCCTGTCCAGCTCTTCTAGAGTAACTGCCTGTCTCCTGGAATCTCCTCCATGCTCTTGAGACTGTGCTGGGAGACACAGCAAACCTTCTGGCAATGGCACGTATTGATGTGCCATCCTGGAGGAGTTGGCCTGCTTGTGCAACCTCTGTAGGGTCCAGGTATCACCTCATGCTACCAGTAGTGACACTGACCCTACCAAATGCAAAACTAGTGAAAAACAGTCAGAAAAGATGAGTAGGGAAAAAATGTCAGTGGCCTCCACCCGTAAAGCCATTCTTGTTTTGGGGCCGTCTCATTGTTGCCCATCTAGTGTACCTGTTGTTAATTTAATTAGCACCAAAACAGCTGAAACTGATTAACAACCCCCCTCTGCTACTTAACTGACCAGATCAATATCCCAGATATTTAATTGACTTGATGCTATACTTTGATTAAAAAAGTGTTTGTTTAATTTTCTTAAGCAGTGTGTGTGTATATATATATATATATATATATATATATACACACACGCACACACACACACACACACACACATATATATATTGTGACAGTATGAATGGCGAAGTGATTGATGGACGCATGCGAGGTGACACATAGGGTTTTTTTTTTACTAAAGCTGGAGAGTGCCGAATCAGGCTCATTTCTGCAAAAAAAAAACAATCAGTTTCTACCCTCAGCTTGTTCAATTAAGCTTTGGTAATAAAATGTGGAAGCTGATTGGTTTCTATGCAAAAGTGAGCCTGATTCGGCAATCTCCAGCTTTAGTAAATAAACCCCTATGTGTCACCTCGCAAGCGATCATACTTTGAAGTTTAAGGTGGAGTCCACTCCGGGTTTTCGGGGCCACAATGGCAGAGGTGGTTCCGGACCGGATTTTGTGCTCCACTGCTGACCACCAACAGGTGGTATAAATAAGGCAGGGCTGGAGCAAGGAGCTGCTCGTGGCCTGGGACTCAGAGAGCCATTCCTGAGTGAGCTGTGTGTGCTATACCAACAAGAAAAGGTTTGCGTATTGTTTTGTTTTTGGGTGACAGGGAGAAGCCTTTCACCTGTGAGAGAGGAAAAGTTCTATGTTTAGTTAGTGCCTGGATGGCAAGGGTTTATTTTGCTGTTTTGTTTGTTTTGATATTTTTGCAAACCTGTGAATAAAACTGAGAAACAGATTTTTAAGAAAGCCTGCTGTGCGGTCTACCTTTTTTCCCAGGGAAGGTGATCTCCCACCTGAGCTAACCCCACAATATATATATATATATATATATATATATATATATATATATATTTCAGCCTTACAGGTAACAAGATGCAATGAGATATGTAGTCCATAAAAACTGAAAGCAAACAGGAGAGGGGAAGCTGGAAAGCATGGAGGGAATCCTGGAATTTGTTGAATGAGATGGCCAGCAGACCAAGTGTTACTCAAAAGCAATTTTCTTTAATGTTTCAAATAGAGACAGAGGTTTTAACCCTCACATTATAAAAAAAACCTACCAAAAATTAACTTTAACCTAACACTTAACCAATCATTCAATTTCATAAACACTTACCCTAGTACACTATTTCTAACTATTAAGTCCATAACCCTTCATATTGACACAAATATTAATCCCTTGGCACCAGCGCCTGCTGGCCCTTTAAGGGGTTTCAGATGCCGAAACGCAGAATGGGATTTGTGATCATGTGACCACCGTGACTGGCTGTCACAACGGTCACATGATCAAAAAGCTCCAGATCGCAAGTAGAGATCAGGAGCGTTCCGTTAACCGCTGGTAACTGTGCCTGCAGTGTTCATGGTGAGCGCTCTCAGCACAGTTCTGTTTTTTTTTGGGGGGGTATGAGTGTTTGCAGCCTCTCAGCGTTAAGGCCCACCCACCATATACTGTATGTATGCAGTTGGCAGGAAGGAGTTGCTCTAACTTACACTAAATGAACTTCTACATATGTACTGATGTGCACTTAACAAACCAAAATATATTTTTAGTCAGTTAAGAGCAGTCATACAAATAAAAAATGTTCAATAGTCAATGCAGGTTACTGCACGTTTTCCTATAAAATCAAAGTCTTAAAAGCATACAAGTAAGAAAATGCTATAGCAACAATAATAACACTTGCAATGGAATGAATGGAAAGGGTATTATATTTGTGACATAACGGTCTTCCAAAATGTTTGCCACTAAGCACCAGTTTCCTTTGACTGAAGTACAAAACTTGTTTCATACATATTTGTACAGGTGCTGGTCCTGGATTGAATTATTAAAAGTTAAATGTTACAGTCTAGAGTTCTAGTGAGTATAAAGTTGAGTTACTCTTAGCAAACTTGAACAGCATTAGAGAGGACATAGGAAATAAATGATAAAGGAAAATATCCAGCCTACAGAAACATGTTAGGAGGGGGATTCAGAATAGCACTGAAGGAAGAGGAACTGTGTTTTTTATGAAAGGGGTGAGAAATATTCCACTTCAACTAAAGGTAAAACATTTGGCATACCCGGAGTGATAAAAAAATTACAGAATTCTCACCGATGAATTTGCAGAAATACTGCAATCGTATAGAAGGCATGCACTGCCAAAGCCATTTTCACAGCTTGCAATGTATTTTTTCCTCAGCTGTAATTTTCCCTACCACTGGCAATGGCTAAAATCAAATGCTAAGTATGTGGTTTCAATCAAAAGAACAAGCACTTTTATGCATTCAGATTTTTCAAGAGTTTAATTTCCGTTCTTTTCTTGCCAACTAGAGGCACATGTGAAACCAAATAACTTAAGTGCAGTAGCTTAAATACTAATTTGCTCGTTCTATTACCAACACATTACATTGCTCACTTCTGGGGCAAACTGCCAACGTGCTGCAAGAATTACATGTGGAATGGTTACTACTAACCTCAAAGTAAATTACAAAACATGTCAACAGTATGACAAGTTTCATTACATTAAATTTAGTCATAACTATTCACTTGAAGGGACTGAAATAAAACACGCCTAATGTAAAGTAGGATTTAGTTGGGCAGCTGGCTGAGATCCTGTAACTATAATTAATTTTTCATGGAGACTGGATACTTTGCAAACATTGAACAAGAGATCCAAAGCAAGATTCAAAAGCTTTTCTTCAAAAGCCCAATTTATTAACTTAAGTATAGCACTGTATATAAAGCAATGGGTCTATGTTTCCCATAATCATCCAATAAGCATACCTGTCACTATTTGTACAATTTGTACAAAACACTTGTACAATCAGTTCTATTATAACACACAAAAACATCTGGGGGGTAAATACTTTTGTATTAACTTGACCATAAATTTTTTTTTTTTCAAACTCAAGTGGGCACTCTGCATTCTCTTAAGCAAGAAGCATTTCTCAAAGCCATATCACATCATAACAGCTAATAATATGCAAGCATGAAAAAGGGGTCAATGAAAAAAATTGGATTTTTGTACTTACCTGTAAAATCGATTTCTTGGAGTACGACACAGAGCAGCTTATAAATCATGACTATCTATACAGTGGATATAAAAAATCTACAAACCCCTTTTAAAATGTCAGGTTTCTGTGATGTAAAAAAAATGAGACAAAGATAAATAATTTCAGAACTTTTTCGACCTTTAATGTAACCTAACCTATAAACTGTACAACTCAGTTGAACACCACACTGAAATCTTTTAGGTGGAGGGAAGTGAAAATAAAAAACTAAAATAATATGACTGCATAAGTGTGTACAACCTTCAACTAATACTTTATTGAAACACCTTTAGATTTTATTACAGCACTCAGTCATTTAGGGTAGGAGTCTAAAACACTCCAAATCTGTCAGATTGCGAGGCATCTCCTGTGCACAGACCTCTTTAGATCACTCCACAGATTTTCGATCAAATCCAGGTCTGGGCCATTCCAAAACTTTAATCTTCTTCTGGTGAGGCCATTTCTTTGTTGATTTGAATGTATGCTTTGGGTTGTTGTCATGCTGAAAGATGAAGTTCCTCTTCATGTTCAGCTTTCTAGCAGAAGCCTGAAGGTTTTGTGCCAAAATTTACTGGTATTTGGAACTGTTCATAATTCCCACTACCTTGACTAAAGCCCCAGTTCCAGCTGAAGAAAAACAGTCCCAAAGCATGATGCTGCCACCACCATGCTTCACTGTGGGTATGGTGTTACATAGTTAGTCTGGCTGAAAAAAAAAAAGTCCATTTAGTTCAACCATTAAAAAAAAGTTAGAATCCTATACCCACAGTTGATCCAGAGGAAGGCAAAAAAAAAACCCCAGCAAAGCATGATCAAATTTGCTCCTGCAGGGAAAACAAATTCCTTCCTTATCCCCCGAGAGGCAATCGGATATTCCCTGGATCAACTTTACCTATAAATGTAGTTATATTCTGTGTATCTAAGAAAGAACCCAGGCCTTTTTTAAAGCAATCCACTGAGCTGGCCAGAACCAACTCTTGAGGGAGTCTATTCCACATTTTCACAGCTCTCACTGTGAAGAAACCTTTCCGTGTTTGGAGATTAAATTTCTTTTCTTCCAGACGTAAACAGTGTCCCCTTGTCCTCTGTGATTACCTCAGGGTAAATAGCTGTACACCGAGTTCACTATATGAACCACTGATGTAATCTCCTCTTCTCAAGAGAGAATAAATTCAGTTCCTCTAATCTTTTCTCATAGCTGATCTCCTCCATGCCTCTTATCAGTTTGGTTGCCCTTCTCTGTACTTTCTCTAGTTTCCCAATGTTCTTTTTGTGAATTGGTGCCCAAAACTGAACTGCATATTCCAGATGAGGTATTACTAATGATTTGTACAGGGGTAAAATGATATCTCTCTTTCTGGAGTCTATACCTCTTTTAATACAAGATTTTGCTCACTTTAGAAACCGCAGCTTGGCATTGCATGCAATTATTAAGCTTGTGATCTACCAGAACTCCCAGATCCTTCTCCACCATTGATTCCCCCAGTTGTACCCCCCCATAGTATGTATGATGCATGCATATTCTTAACCCCCAAGTGCATAACCTTACATTTATCAACATTAAACCTAATTTGCCACATAGTTGCACAATTAAACAGTGCATTGAGGTCGGCTTGTAAATTGAAGACATCCTGTAAGGACGTTATTCCACTGCACAGCTTGGTGTCATCTGCAAAGACTGAAATTGTATTTTTAATCCCAGACCCTATATTGTTTATAAATATATTAAAAAGTAAGGGTCCCAACACTGAACCTTGGGGTACACCACTGATAACCCTAGACCATTCAGACTATGAATCATTAACCACTACTCTTTGAATACGATCTTTTAGCCAGTTTTCTATCCATTTACATACAGATTTTTCCAGGCCCGTAGACTTTACCTTACACATTAGCTGTGTGTGGGGAACTGTGTCAAATGCTTTTGCGAAATCCAAGTATACCACATCCACCACCACCCCTCTGTCCAAGGTTTTGCTCACCTCTTCATAAAAAGATTTGTTTGTTTGACAACTTCTGTCTTTCATGAATCCATGCCGTCTGTTGCTTAAAATATTTTTTTTTGGTGATGTGCATTGTTGTTTTTGCACCAAACATATCTTTTGGAATTATGGCCAAAAAGTTCAACCTTGGTTTCATCAGACCATAACACATTTTCCCACGTGCTTTTGGGAGACTTCAGATGTATTTTTGCAAAATTTAGCCAGGCTTAGATGTTTTCCTTTGTAATAAAAGGCTTCCGTCTTGCCACTCTACCCCACAGCCCAGACATATGAAGAATACGGGAGATTGTTGTCACATGTACCACACAGCCAGTACTTGCCAGAT